TTTGCATAGTTGGCAGCACTATGCGACCACATAGTGCTATCCTCTATGCGGTCACACAAAGGCCTCCCGAGAAATTATTTCTTTCGATTTAAAACTACTGCAAGTGTACGATTTGTTAACAAATAATAAAGTAGATTAAATGAGTCCGAATATCGTCCACAGAGATTGATTAGTTCAATTTTACCTATCGTCGCCTTAACCGAAACTAAATTACTAAAGTGAATGTGAACCTAATTAAAACCCTAATTTTGAAAAGAAAATCCTAATTATGCAATTTTTATGATTGAATTTAATTAAATATGCAAAACAATATTTTTAACACTCTAAAATGAAATCAAATGTTGAGAATGCACGTTTGTTGTAATTAATAGAAATCAAACACACTAGAATCACGATTTTCCATGCAATTATCACTTTAAAATCCTAGTTTCACAATGTGACAACACACTTCAATTGTGACGAATCACTGTTTCTAAGTCTATCCATTACTCTCTCTCTAGATGTATTGAACCTATTTCTACATACCACCAGTCTATATTTTTATGACAAGTGCATATGTAAAAATGCATGTGGTTTTATGAACACTTAAAGATTCACGTAGGGCATAGCGGTATATTTCTATTCTTTATCGGACCCTACGATGATTTATATTATGTCGAACCTATTCCAATTCTCTTGAATGCAAGAATAAATCACCCAAACTCACACAATTACAGACCCTTAATTGCGGAAACAATAATTGCATATAAATCATTCAAAACAATAGAAATATATCTTAATGTCAAATTGCAAAATTAGAAAATTAAAGATCAAATTACATGGTTCATCATTCTCCTAGCACATGAAAATCTAGCCTAACATGGTAAAAATAAAAGAATACATCAGATTTTGAATAAAAGGCATCACCGGGTTATGAAATCTTGAGAAATCTTGAAGCTCTTCGTGTAAATCTTCATTCTTGCGCTCAAAATCCTCTCCAAGAAGTGTTTTTCTACCTCCAATACGTTCTGCTTCTTTCTGAACGTCTTTTGGTATTTATATCGTGTGAAAATTAGGTTACCAAAAGAGTTTCGGTCGTATAAGGAAATTGCAGAATCGGCCCCATAACTTGTTCTATGCAACTGCATAGTACATTTCTATGCGGTCGCATAGAGAAAACATTCTCGGGAGGCCTCTATGCGACCACATATTGTTGCCCACTATGCAAAATGTCTATTTTGGTCCTTGAACTTTCATTTTTCTTCATGTTATTGTCTCTCTTTTGTTTTTCTCACTTTCCATTTTTTTATCATCATCTTCTCATTTGCCTTCTATATAACCCATGTAACGAGCTTTAGGTCGGTGACTCCCAAACCAGTTGGCTTTAGGGCATCAGGTTTTAAACCCTTGCAGGCTTATTTACTCGAATTATTAAGGCTCGATCAGATGACTTTTTATTAACCTCTTTCCCTCTTGCTTTCTATATGACCCCTTTAGCGAGCTTTAGGCCGGTGACTCCCAGGGCAGTTGACCTTAGGGCACCAGATTTTGAAATATCCTCACAAGCTTGCTCGAGTCATAAATGCATGAAAAAAAGTGTCTTATTCTCACAAATTAAGTTTATGCATTTATTGTTTTAGACATTTAGTTTCCAAAACCAACCCCCAATTTAAGATTTTCACCAATCTTCACCTCACTGGTCTAGGCAACTCACACAATAAAATTTCATGCACGGAGCCGCCGCTTATCTCAATGCTCCCTATAATAGCTCAACCAATTCCAAACTGTTTTAAGGTGATTTACGCGTTAATTCAATAGATGGTTATCATTCTTTTCCTACTTTATGCTCAAAATCCAGTCATTACCTAACATGTCAAGCATGAATAGCATGCACAGATAATGTCAAGTATTGCATCACAAGTATTGGTTAATCTATTCAGCACTATATCCAAAGTTTATGAATTATACCAGTCCAATAATCACATCATAGCCAGCAAGGCTATCAAGCCCACACAAGCATGCAAAAGTATAATCAACACTCACTCATCAAGCATGCATCATGCAACAATTAGTCAATAATAACGATGGACTGTGAAAATGTAAAATAATTACATGCCGACTATTTGTTTTAAATTATGCCACCATCCCCCAAACTTATACAGTACATTGTCCTCAATGTAAAAATTAAAGTTTAAATGGCATAATTTAAAAAAAAACATGAATACAAAATAGCAAAATGAGGTAAACAAGAATCCTCTAATCAATATGGTGGCTGTGATGGGAGGCTGGGTCCTGCAGTATTATCTCCAGGAGGGGGAGAAAGGCGGGAGAAAATCTCTCTCTATAGGTCAGACTGCTGGGTTTGCTCCACCTTCATGGCCTGAAGCCTGGTCTCCAAGCTTTCTAAAAGGTCCCATGTCTCATTTACTCGCCACTGTATACCATCCATCCTGCCAACGTACATTTCCAATCTCCCGTCAAAGGTACTCATCTCTCTTCTTGCTGCAAGGGACTCACTGCTGACATTGGATGCGAAGTTTCTTGTGATTACCATATCATTCTACACCTGCTGGATGGTGGTACTCATTGCTCCAAATGATTGCTGAAGATTGCATGTCTCGACTATGTCCTGTCATAGTAGGAAACATCTGCCTCAATAACTAGGTATCAATGTCAACCGATGGTGGAGGAACTTGTGGCGTCTCGAAGTTCTCACCTGCTTGTCCTTCCTCAGCCTATTGTTGTCGGCGTCGCTCGATTTCTAACTTCTGTTGATGTTTAACTCTGGCTTGGTCCTGGGCCTCTAGTGTGAGGTGCTTGATATAGGGACTTGGTTTTTCTGGTGCTTCTCTAGGCTCGACTTGTATGCCTGCAGCTCTATATATCCCACTTATCAAACTTGGGAAAATCGGCGAGGTGTGCCTATCTCTCTATGTGCCTATATTCTGTATCTGGTTGTAGATGCATGTGGCCAAATCAATCTTGTTTTCCCAAACCAAATGATAGATAAACCCCGCCTTTTGATTTGTGAATGTCATCCTATGGGATATGGGCTCGATGTTGTGGCAAATGAATAACCATAGGATAGCTATAGATGGGGTGAGATCAATCTGATACCAATCTGCAATCGATAAAGGCCAAGCATTCTCACGTCCCAATAATACTTCTGGAACCTCAATCCAATTGAAATTATGTGGGACTGGGATCACATTATTCCAGGTTAGCTGATAATAGTCATGAATCACTTCTGGTGAGATCATAATCCATTTACCTGGAACCCTTGTTTGATGTAGATGATCTAATCCAGGAGTGTCGATTTCTGTATTGAAGTTGGCATAGAACTCCTTCACCACATTTTCATACACTGGATGCGATCTTTCAATTACTTTATCCTAACCACAGTTGTGGATCAAGTAAAATAATTCAAAATCGGGGAAATCTTTCAACTTAATTGGCCTTTTGGGGATGAGTGCCCACTCGCAGACAACATTGGCATAACCGGCTGCTATGTTTGAGGATAGAAATCTCTTGACACCCCCTTCGGGCTCTTTAGTCCGAGCTGTGCCAAATGCGGAACCAACCTTCTCTTTTCCTTTTGATGTTCTCTTTGGCGGCATTTTGCAAAGGTAAGAAAAGAGGTGTATCAATATCGTGACTTATGATAATTAAGAAAACGAAAGAGGATGGCTTTGAAGTGCAAAATCCCCCAAACTTACTTCAAAGTGTATATATAACTTGTAATAGTAGTGTTCAATGAATGAGTTCAATATAATATCAACATTGCATAAATATGAGAAGCTCATTAACTGTGGCCCAAACATGCACTTTTTTTTTTTGAAATTTTGACTTGTGACCAAGTGGGGACTTTCAGCCCCGGGCATCATCGAGAAATATCAATGTTTTCTCGAGCGAACTCCTGGCACATGAAAGTATCCATATTATTCTAGCTCATATCCGAATTTCAAATCATTTGGGTAGTCAAATTACGTGTCGAAGTGGGTGACGTGAGGTGCCATGATGTGACCTAGCCATGTGCCTTCATGTGGTCAAATTGGGATTCAGTGTTTTCCAAGTTAATTTCCATGTAGTTCTATAGTAAAACACAAGGCAATTCACATCTCATTAACTATACATGCACAATTTACAAAAATGCCTCAAACATGTCGTTCATGTGTTTCATCAAACACATCACGTGCATTATATTTGAGCCCAAGGAATCTCATAAATTGAAAAGTGAATCATCCCACAGCACAATCATTATCCAATAACATCAATCCATATCTACCTATTGCCCAATCTCCTCAGTATATATGTATGAATCTAGCACACATTCGGATTCAAAAATTGAACCAAAATTTCAATTGAGAAGAATAGAACAAATTCATACCTTAGAACTGATGAAGTTGTAATAAATGTGTGGAGTGCTAGGTTAAGTACTTCGACTGATTGGTAGTGTGCATGAAATTGGGGAGAACTCGTGCCCTAGAACTCGTCTTATGCGTGAGTGTGAGGGGGAGGGAATTTTGGGGGTGATGGGAGGAAGTAGTGTGGAATAGGTGGGTTACGGGTTTAAGACTGGGTCACAATGCGACCGCATAGTGTTGCACTATGCGGTTGCATAGTACAACAATATGGGGGCCACTTTGCTTTCAGTAATGGTCTATGCGATCGCATAGACCATTTGTCTATACGCTCGCATAGACAAACTTTTTTTCCTTCAAATCTCAATTATGAAAAAAAAAATCAAAATTACAATTTTAACCCCCAAAACACAACTTAAATAAAAATTTTCCCCCGAAGTTGGTTTTCAATTAAAAATTTGACTCGGCTAATATCATTCCCGAAAAATTTAGAAACTTCCAATTCAATGGGATGTGTGCTTGTCGAAGGACTTAGCACCAAAACCAATTTATGGAATAAACTTGAAACGCATTTCGAAATTTTTTATGAAGAATGACTTTGTGCATAGAAATGCGTGACTTCACACTCAATCCCCCCAAAACAACTTCAATTAACTTGACTCATGCCACCTTATGTGTGTAATGCTTAGATACACGTGAAAGATTGATAACCTAAAAAAACAAAAGCAAAGCGAAAATTAAACAACTCCTAAAATAATGTGAAAAGTAAAATAAATCGAAGGATATAGTGGGTTGCCTCCCATCCAGCGCTAGGTTATTGTCGATAGCTTGACTTTTCTGCAGCTGCTTTATTTTGGCGTCCCGAGTTGAATGGTGGACTTTTTGTTGGAGAAGTCACCACTCTAGTAGTGTTTTAGCCTTTGCCCATTAACAATGAAGGTACCCTTAGTCTCATGGCTAACTTGTATGCTCCATATGGTAGGGCTTTCGTGATAGTGTAAGGACCCGACCACTGTGATCGTAGTTTTCCTGGGAATAGCTTGCGTCTCAAATTATACAATAGTACTTGCTGCCCCACTTCGAATTCTCGCCTCTGAATATGTATGTCATGCCAGTTCTTGGTTTGTTCCTTGTAGAGTTTTGAATTTTCACAAGCTTTCATTCTAAATTCATCTAACTTATTAAGTTGCAGTAGGTGCTTTTCACCGACGGCACTCAAGTCCATATTTAACTGTTTCATAGCCCAATATGCCAGGTGCTCCATTTCTAGTGGCAGATGACACGCTTTTCCAAAAACTAGGCGGTATGGAGACATGTCTATCGGTGTCTTGAATGCTATCCTGTAAGCCCACAATGCATCGTCCAACTTTTTAGATCAGTCCTTTCTAGATGAGTTCACTATGACCTCGAGTATTCTCTTCAGCTGTCGATTAGATACTTCAACTTGCTCGCTGGTTTGCGGATGATATGGGGTAGCAACACAGTGTTTAACGCCATATTTATTCAACAGCTGCTCAAATTGGCGATTACAGAAGTGTTTGCCCCCATCACTGATTATAGCTCGCGGTGTACCATATCGGATGAAAATGTATTTCTTCGAAAACCTAATTACTACCTTTGAGTCATTTGTTGGCAGTGCAACTGATTCCACCCATTTTGATACATAGTCCACTGCTACCAAGATGTACCGATTTGAGAATGAAGGGGGAAAAGGTCCATGAAGTCAATTCCCCAAATATTGAATATCCCCACTTTCAAAATGTTATTCAGTGGCATTTCATTCCTCGTCGAGATATTTCCAGTGCATTGACATCTGTCACACCTCTTGACAAACTCAAAGGCGTCTCTAAACAGTGTAGGCCAGTAGAACCCTGATTGTAGAATCTTTGCAGCTGTTTTCAAAGCCCCAAAGTGCCCTGCATATACAGATGAGTGGCAGTGCTCAAGAATCTCATGTACTTCTTCCTTAGGTATGCATCTCCTTACTATCTGATCAGCCCCTCAACTATAGAGAATTGGATCCTCCAAGAAATAATACTTCAATTCGGCGAAGAACTTTTTCCTCTGGTGACTTGAGTAGTCCGGCGATGGGATGGAACTGGCCAAGTAATTGACGATATCTGCATACCAAGGTGCTTCTTCTACTCTCAACATATGCTCATTTGGGAAGATCTCATTGATGTCCACTAATTCTTTTATCTCCCCAGGCTCTAATCCGGATAGGTGGTCCGCTACTACATTCTCACTGCCCTTCTTGTCTTGTATCTCGATATCAAATTCTTGCGGCAACAACGCCCAATGAATCAATCTCAGTTTTGCATCATTTTTTGTGAGCAGATACTTCAATGCAGCATGATTTGTGTAGACGATGACTTTAGACCCGATAAGGTATGATTTGAATTTGTTGAATTCATATACCACGGCCAACAGCTCCTTTTCAGTGGTGGCATAATTGATTTGTGCATCATTTAGAGTTCTGCTTGCATAGTAGATCACATGAAAAATCTTGTTCCTCTGCTGTCCTAATACTGCACCCACGGCATGATCACTGGCATCACACATCAATTCAAAAGGCAGTTCCCAGTTTGGTGCCACAATTATTGGTACTATGGTGAGCTTCTCCTTTAAAGTGTTGAATGTTGTGAGACATTCCTCATTAAACTCAAAGGTTACGTCTTTCATTAGCAGATTGCATGACGACTTAGTGATCTTCAAGAAATCTTTTATAAATCTCCTGTAGAACCCCGCATGCCCCAAGAAGCTGCGAACTCCTTTAACTGATGTAGGTGGTGGTAACTTCTCAATAACTTGAATTTTTGCCTTGTCCACCTCAATTCTTTTTGCCAAGATTCGATGCCCAAGTACAATGCCTTCCTGAACCATAAAGTGGCATTTCTCCCAATTTAAAACTAAGTTAATCTCCTTACATCTCTATAAGACCAAATTTAGGTGTTCTAGACATTCATCGAATGAAGATCCAAACACTGAGAAGTCGTCCATGAAAACCTCAATAAATCTTTCGATAATATTAGAGAATATTGTCATCATACACCTCTGAAATGTGGCAGAAGCGTTGCAGAGACCAAAAGGCATCCTACGATAAGCAAAAACACCGTAGGGACAAGTGAAAGTGGTCATCTCTTGATCATCTGGTGCAACAGGTATTTGATTGTAGCCTAAGTATCCATCAAGGAAGCAGTAGTGTGAATGTCCAGCCAACCTCCCCAATATCTGATCAATGAATGAGAGTGAGAATTGATCCCTTCGTGTAGCTGCATTGAGTTTACGATAATCGATGCAAACTCTCCATCCCGTAACTATTCTGGTGGGAATTAATTCATTCTTCTCATTTTTCACCACCGTGATTTTCCCTTTTTTCGGCACTATTTGAATTGGACTGATCTATAAACTATCTGAAATTGGGTAGATAATTCCTGTATCCAGTAATTTCAATATCTCTGCCCTGACTACTTCCTTCATGTTCGGATTCAATCTTCTTTGACCCTCTATACTTAGCTTGCAATTTTCTTCCATTAGAATTTTATGCATACGCAGAGAAGGGCTGATCCCTTTAATGTCAGCTATTGTCCACTCAATCGCCGTCTTGTTCTCTTTGAATACCCTGAGCAATTTTTCTTCCTCCACCTCACTGATTGCGTTCGAAATGATTACTGAAAGTGTATCTAACTCCCCCAAATATGCATGTCTGAGATGTGGCGGTAGTTGCTTGAGTTCTAAAATTGATGGTTGTTGAATGGAAGGCAGTGGCTTTGTATTTTCCGTCCCCAGTTCCTTGAAGTGCCTCTTTCGGTGTATGGCGAGTTGTCTCCAAAAACCTCGCACATGTTTCAACTTCAAGAGAATCTGACTGAACTGATTGGGATTGTGCAATGAATGCCTCATAGGCGTCAGATAGGCCATGAAGTAAGAATGTTTCTTGTACTGCCTTGTCAATGATGTCAACTTGGTAACAGCTATCTGATTCTACTGGCAGTTTCATGGCCTTGAATATATTGAACGATACCTGCTCCTCTCCCAATCTTAAGATCAATTACCCCCTTTGAACATCAATTAACGCTCTCCCTGTTGCCAGAAATGGTCTACCAAGTATCAACGGGATATCCTTGTCTTCTTCCATGTCCAAGATAAGAAAATTCACTGGGAATATGAACTTGTTAACCTTGATAAACACATCTTCAATTATTCCTCTAGGATGTGTCAGTGACCTGTCCGCCAGTTGAAGTGTCACAGTAGTCGCTTTAGCTTCTCCCAAGCCGAGTTTTCGAAAAACAGACAGAGGCATTAAATTAATACTTGCACCGAGGTCACAATGCTTTATTGAAATAGACTTCACCAATAGTACAATGAACAGTAAAACTCCCTGGATCTTTCAGTTTTGGTGGAAGCTTTTTCTAGATTCTGGCACTGTATTCCTCCGTAAGCATTACTGTCTTATGGTCCTCTAGCTTGCGTTTGTTTGATATAATATCTTTGAGAAACTTCGCATAGCTAGGCATCTGGAATAGTGCATCAGCTAGTGGGATGTTGATATGGAGCTTTTTGAAGACTTCTAGGAATTTTTTGTGCTGTTGCTCCAGTTTTTGCTTCTTCAACCGCTGTGGAAAGGGAATCGGAGGCTCGTATGGGTTGTCTGTGACTTTTCTGAATTTTCCTTTGGAGTTGATTCCTTTACATTAGTCTCTTCTTCAGCAGGGGAAGATGTCTCAATCACACCCGGTCTCTTGACATGGATTTTAGGCAATTGTATTCTACTTCGAGTTGTAATGGCCTTGGCTTGCTCTTTGGGATTGATTTATGTGTTACTCGACAAGTTACCTGGCATTCTGCCAGTCAATGCGATGGCCAACTTCCCCATCTGAGTTTCCAAATTTTTGATGGCCAACTTTCTCCATGAATTTTCCTATCATATCTTCTAATTGAGGCCTCTTCTCTTGTTGAAATTGTCCATGTGACCTATTTTGATTTTGGTTGTCCCAAGAGAAGTTGGGATGCTTCTTCCAACTGGGATTGAAAGTTTCTCCATATTGATTGTGTTGTTTGCGTTGTCCCCACTGTGCATAGTCTGCTTGCTCAATTCCTTGCATGAGTATTGGGCATTCCGATGTTTTATGCTCATCTCTACATTCCTCACAATTGCTCTTGTTAGCTTGTGATATGCTTTCCACCTTGTGATACAGAGAGTTGATTTTTGCAGATATTTCTGAATAAGTATCCACCTCGTAGACACCCAGTGTTTTCCTTGGAATAGCCCTCTTAGAAGACCACATGGCTGATGTGGTAGCCATTCTCTCAAATAATTCTAATGCCCCATTAACTGTTCGTGTGGATATTAAGCCATCTGACGCTGAAACCACCATGCTCTTGTGGTATGGAAGTAACCCTGTGTAGAAGAATCGGATTTGGGTCTTTTTATCAAACCCATGTTGAGGGCACTTCCGGAGCATGTTTTTGAATATGTTCCAAGCTTCGTCAAATGATTCAGTTTCTCCTTGACTGAATACTAATATGTCATATCTCAGCTTCGCTATCTTGACTGGGGAGAAAAACTTTGTACAGAATTTGTGTGCCAACTCGTTCCATGTAGTGATACTTGCAACAGGAAATGAATCCAACCATTCAAGTGCTCTGTCTCGTAGCATATGTGGAAACAGCCTTAGCCTAATAGCGTCGTCCGAAATCCCTTGGTATCTGAAATGTTGAAACATATCCAGAAATCGAGATATGTGTGTATGTGGATTCTCCTCGGCTTTGCCATAAAATTGGTGTCCATTTTGAAATAGCTGTATCACATTGGCCTTTAACTAGAAATTTGGTTGCCCAAACGGTGGATACACTATGCTAGATTAATTTTGAATTACTTGAGGAGTCAAGAAATCTCCCAGAGTCTCATTTCCTTCGTCCATTGCCTCTCTTTCATTAGCTTGAATAATGAGATTGTTTAGTTTGTTAGCCATTTATACTTGTGCTTCTCGGTGATCTCTTTGTCGTCAATGAAAGGTGCGCTCGATTTCAGGATCAGTTGGAATCAATTCTCCTCCAGTCGATCGTGGCATGCAAATCTGAGAAACAAAACCAGTACGAGCACTGAGATTCAAACAATTTAAATAACTAAAACACGATTAAAGGATAATAACCTAAAATAAAAATAAAAACAAAATTATACAAGCAAAATAAAAATTGAAGTTCGAATTAGTGCCTCGAGATATAAAATTAAACTAAACTCAGTCCCCGGCAGTGACGCCAAAAACTTGTTCACGAAATTATTTCTTTCGATTTAAAACTACCGCAAGTGTC